TCCGATCTTGCTGCTGCTACTGCTACTGCTACTCCTACTCCTACTCCTACTACTACTACTACTACTACTGCTGCTAAAACTACTGTCTTATGAATGTGTTCGCAGTACAGCAACCCTTTGTTGCATCTCCAAGCATCCGTTGAGGATCCGATCTGGACGATGCGTAGAGCTGCTGGCGAGGGCCACGTGCTGTCTGGCGACAAGGCTCACCGTGCTACTGCCACCTCACAGCCAGGGGCGATGCATGAGCCAGGTGACCTTGGAAGCTGGAGGGAAGTTCTTGGCAGTGGTGGAGAATTTCGTGGTAGCCGTCGATGAGGAGTCACCTTTCACGACTTTTCTTCTGGAGGTCAAGGACAGGGCCTAGTCTTCCCTTCCTTCACACAAAGCCAAAGCTCGACTCGCCACTGTGGGAAAGACGACGATGCACGGCACATGCGCAGGAGCAACCAGCTCCCATGAGGATCGGCTTCACTGGATCCCTTGTTGATGGTTTTCATGACGTCGAGTGGTTCGGTAGAGGTCCTCATGAGTCTTATCTGGATCGCCACGCCTCTGCGCGTGTGGGCCTCTTCCAGGGCTCCATCGCCGAGCAGACTGTGGCTCGGGTTTAGCTTTCATACAGATGGATGGGTGAAAATGATGAAAAGATGGATAGATGGATGCTAATCGCACACATAAATTGCAATGACACCGCGTTCTGGAATGCAGATCGAGAGTTGTCGAAGTTGCGTGTTTTCGGCTCCCCGAGGTGAAGTATGTTCGGCCCCAAGAGAACGGCAACAAGTTCGAGACCAGATGGATGTCGTTGAAACGACGACCTGCAGACCCCTGCACCATGATGCTCATTTCAGCGGCGGCACTAGACTGAAATCAAAGGGTGGGTGGATAATGCGGTTTATATGGAAGTACTGGCTTATTGTAGCAGCTGATTGTTTGTGTGTGCATACATACGTACATACAGACAGACTGACAGACAGACAGACAGACACACACACACACACGTACGTACACCCGTCCATCCATCCATCCATCCATCCATCCATCCATCCATCCATCCACCTATACATACATACCTACATACATATATATATATATGTGTATACATGTATATGCCTCTAATGGTAGGTCTGGGACTTCAGCCGTTCGCTGTGGCTAGCAGCCTAGGGCCAAAGCCAGATGCTGGAGATGCAGTGCCATCACTTTGCGCTGGAGGATTTCGATGGAGGCGATGTGAAGGCTCAGCAGAGCCTTGTCAATCTTAGGGGTCCTTTTTGGTTATTTGGGTTTGGGTTTCCTGATACTTTGCAAAGGAGGAAACCCCTCAAAGGACACCCTTTTTCAGACCAAGGAGCTTCCTGCATGCCGGGGAGCTTATCGAGCAGCCCACCACGGCTGCTTGGCTCACCGTGAGCTGGTCAGATGCATTTGTTTGCTCTCTTGTGTGTCTGTCTACGTTCTTGAATGTCAGTAGTTGTCGGTGAGTAAAGCAGGCAGGCAGTCTGTCTGAGTCTGTGAGTCCGTATGCATGCATGCATGTGTGTGCATGTGTGTGTGTGTGTGTTTGTTTTTTGTGCGCATGTGCATGTGCATTTACATGGACCTGTATATGTACACGTGTATATACAGATATTTAATTAAGTATGATGCATGCACAAATGTAGCGTGTGTATTTACGCATGGTTGCTTTCTTGATGTGTTCTTCTTGTTGATTAGTAGGCGTGGGTGCGTGAATGTTGCATGCATGCATGCATGATGAAACATTAATCCACCTCACATCGCATCATGCCGCATCCTATAAAATGCTGAGTGACTATGCTTAGCCTCCTAGTTTGCACATAGGTTGCAGAAAGTCATATGTATCGTGTGTCGCATGCTATAAACGCAGACCGCTGTCTCAATGCATGCGCGTAAGTCTGATCTGGGTACCTCAGGCTCTGAGGCCTTTCCTTTATGAGCTAGTGGCTGCAGGCCTTCTGCGTCGATGCGATCCAGATGGGGGTGGGTGGGATCGATTCCTGGGGGCGAAAGCCTTTGGACGAGCACCTGATCAAGCCGGATCAAGACTGTGATTGGTCCTTCCAGTTGATGCCATGTCCCATGCTCGGAGATGTGGGGGCTTCTTTAGCCTAGAGCGTGCGGCTTTTGTATTATAGGGGTCTGTACGGGATCCCACTTTTCAGAACCTGAGTTATATCAGGGTCCCCTAGCATTATTCTGGAACTTCCCTGAAGCTCTTCTTGCGTGTAACCGAGGCAAAGAAGACTTCGATAGCGACTGGCGCCGGAGGCTGCTCTAAGTGGAGTAATCTCAGCGCCCAGGTGCCCCTTCCTGCGAGGCTATGTGTACGCGCTTAAAAGCTCATGATATACAGTAGCTCGAGGGTTCGGCTTCGCAGAGAAGTGTTGGGGCACCAAGCGTACCTTTGTGCGTAGCATGGAAAAAGGAGCCACCGACACTTGCCATCATTGATGCACGCCGAAAGATGTACTTGCATGCTTCACTTGCACGGCTTCCTTCGCTACACCCGCAAATGCTCAGCATGTCAGCGCCCATGCTGCGTGCTTAATTACAGCCCTATAGGTCACGTGCATGTTCTTCTTTTGTGTTGCGCCACCGGCCCTGCTCCGTCTGTGAAGGCAAACCCACACTTGAGCACACCCCGCTCGGTTTATAGACACCTGACCTAGTCATATAGGCACCCTTTATGATACAGGAACCTAAACCCTCAAGGTAATTGGTCCGGTGATGCTCCAGACCCTGATCCAGTCAGCATTGTTTCGGCGGGCATTAGGCCACAATGCATGCCCGTGAAGCAAGATCCCGGCGCATTCCCCTGCAAATCCCAGTTACCATTTTAGGCTAGTGTCCCCATATAACGACAAATTACTTTATACTAACCCACTTTAGAGGTAAAGGGGTGTCTCGCCTTATAAGCGCACCATGTATTCGACATGCTGAGAAGTGGCTGCGGTCTGGATGACCGGAGGATTGATCGCTGCTCTCCTGGCATTTCCTGCCCAGGCCTTTGACGATGGTTGCAGCTATGTTGCCTTGCAGCAGGCCTGCTTGTCGGCGGGTGGCATGCTGTTTCGGGAACTGGCACCCTTCCAGTACACCACGACAACGTCAACTTTGTCCACAACCTCTTCAGCTGCACTTTCGTTCGACTGCTCCGCTACAGAGAGTTGAGCTGGCCACATGCAAAGAGGGAGTGGTGCTGCTCCAACCAGCAAGTCGGGTGCCCATCCACTTCAGCCCGGACTAGCACGGCCACTAGTCGAACGGCTTCGTCAACAAGCAAAACCACCACATCCAGCTTGACAATCAGTCAGCCTCACAGACCAGCACGTCTTCCAATGTGTCCAGAATATCAACCACTAGCATTTCTGCAAGGCGTGTGACGTCGGCTACGGCAACTGGGAGTTGGGCTGGTCAAGCATGAAGAAGGAATGGTGCTGCGAGAGAGAGCTGAAAGGTTGCCCTTCAACCACGACATCCACATCCACCGGAACTTGCCGTACATCCTCAAGCACCCGGACATCCGGAACAATGACGAGTACGACCTCTTTCTCTTCGACGACCACCTCACAGACCAGCACGGCTACAAGTTTGACCACCACGAGCTCGAGCAGCAAGTCCTCTAGCCTGACGTCCAGCACATCAACAACCGAAATCGACGCCGATCCCCCAACGCCGCCAGTTCCAGGGTAGGGTTCCCTTCGTGGGCAGTGACACGTGCCATAGGGAAGATTGAGATCTTTGCTTGGTTGGACAGCGGGTCCCTCAAGAGGGCTATGCGTCATGTGGCGAGTCCTCATTTGGCCAGCTGCTGTGCCCTGCTGGTTCTGCCACGGCAGTCAGCACAAGATCCAGTGCTTGTCAAGTCTGCGCCACCCTGGTCGTTCAAGGCTGGGGCACACCTACACCGTCACCGCATTCCTTTCCGGGCCAGTGCAGGGGTTGCTTTCACCCTAAGTTCCAAAGCTGAAAAAAGCGTGAACTCTTCAGGATCCCCAGTTGGGGTCTGGAGTCTGAGGACCGGTTATCTTGTAGTATGGCTGGTTTGCTGAGGCCTGATTTTGCTGGGAGTAGTACCCCTACCGCGTACAACCAACCGAAGCAAGAGCTCTTGTGAAACGTTTCCGCACGGCAGTACGGACGATCCCGCTTTTCTAGTGCTGTGTTCTTGTTGTGCCGGCATTTTGGCCTTGCTTAGTGCTGGACCTGGTTGTTTTTGCATAGTCCGAGCCGTGGCGAGCTTCACTTTGTGTGTCACGCCGACCTGCACCTGTTGGACATCGCCTGGCTTGTCCGAGTTGCGAGAGCGTAAAACACTAAGTCGCTAGCTGAGCTTTGTTGATGGGTAGGTAAGGGATAGCTTTGTTGCAGCACGATCGAGAAATCCTGACCAGGGGTGGAGGGTGACCTCCCTTCCGAACAATCTCAAGCCCTTAAAAAGAATCCTAACCGGAACCCCAGTAACAACCCTCGGAAGAATCGCGTAGGACTCTAAAAGAAATCCGAAACCGAACCACAACAGGAACCTTATCAGGAATCCTAGGAGCCCTGAAAGGAATCTTGTTTCGAACCCAAAAAGCAATCCGAGTAGAACCCTCGGTAGGAACCCGAATCGGAACCCTGAATAGTTACCCTAAGTGGAACCTGAATGGGAGCAGTCACAGGAAGTCTAGCAGGAACCCGTAGTGGCAACCCGAAAAAAGGAGCCGAGAGAGTAGGTAACCCTTACAGGAACCCTGGCTTTCGCTGAGGTGAAGTCGCAGCCACCCGCACGGGCGCGCGCCACCGTTTCGAGGAGCGAAACGGGGCATCAAGAGTGTCGATGAGAGGTCTTGCACTGTTCTGGGTTTAAAAGTGCGTTTGGGTTTCAAAGGACTCTTATTTGAGAGGGGGCACCTCAGTCCGTGCTGAAAAAAAGGTCTGCTTCGGCTTCTGCTGCTTTTAGAGTTGCTTATAAGATAGCTTTTAGGATGTTAGCACGTGTTAATTTAGAGTTCAGGGGTTTAGGGCTTGGGTTGTTTTGGATGCACATATGAATCCAAAAACCTCCTATGTTATGTTACGGGTGCTGCATGCATAGTCGGACATGGTTCTATCCTTCAGGGAGCCTTCAGAGAGCCGAGGAGAAGGCCTGAGTGTACCAAGAGTCAGGGTTCAGACTGTCTTGCTTCCAGGAATACTGTAGGTTTCCAGAAGTTTCTATCAATAAGAGGGCCTCAGAGGGCTTAGTTTCCGTTTTGGTTTATTCCAAGGCTCATGGGCTATCCAAGGAGGATGGGAACGTCAGTGGGCCACCTCTTGGTTCGGAAGGCTTACTCTGGCATCTCACTTGAAGGCTTTGGTCTGAAGCCTGAAGCTTTCTGTGTTGAACAGACCGCTCCCCCCCTTCCTCAAGCAGTAGAGAGCCACTTCGTTCTGTGGAGGTGGATGCCATTTGGGCAGAAATCGCGCGCTCCGAGCGCGAGGAGAGCAGGCCACGGAGAGCAGCAACTGCCGGGGGTACACTGTCGACGGCTGCTAAATTCAAGGCTGCTTTCTTTCTGGCCATGCTATGCTGTCGGCGAAATTTATTGGCAAGTGTATAGCATATACCTGTGGAGTCGGTCCGCACATGACAGCTTTACTTGCTTGCTGCGTCGTGAGGGGCCACGGCCTCAGTCGTTTGGGATGGTTGTCGCAACTCGCACCAAAAGCAGGCTTCGACAAGAAGAGATGGCAGAACAGAGCGCGGAGAAGAAGCTTCGCCAGGAGATGCCGCATGGACTTGCTCAAGCCGATGTGCTTATCAGTCGCACATACTGCTACGATCTCCACCCAAAACAAGCAACACTTCCATGGTAGGAGCTTCTAATTCCTTCGAAACCTCACTAACGGGAAAGGCTTTTTGATCAGGGATGTACACCTCGAACTCCATTCTGGCACCGCGCAGGAGGTTCGGGTGGAGAGGGGCAAGATCGAGGCTTGCTCCCACCGCGTGGCCAATGAACGGCCACAAGCCCAAACACCTCTGCGCAGGTAGGATGCAGAATGCCGGGACATGCGCCGCGACATGCAAGAATCATTTCGTGTGATGAAAGGATCCAGACAAAATGATTGAGCGGAAGTGAGACTGCTAAACGATATTGGCAGCAGCTGAGTCCAATCGAGGCTGCAGGAGGCCGAGGAAGCCGTTGATTTAATGTGCCCGCGGCCTGGAATCACTCCGGGAAGATGCAGCTGCATGTTAGATATGCCGCTTTGACCGCAGGCCTTGTTAGGTTGTAATCGTGACGGCACGCATGAGGCATGAGAATCGAAGAGCTCAAGTCCGATGCCACTGAACGGCAGGCAACAGCCCATGCATGTCGGTTGGGACCGGAGATTTGGCTGTCAGACATGTAGTGCCATCGTGACAAGTAACTAGTTATTGGATGCAGTGCAGGTTCGACGGGTTGTCATCATCCTGTATCGTTGGTTTTGTGCTTGCGATTGCGGCTCTGTGTCCACAACCACAATCCGTCTTGGTTCGATTGACGGTCGTGCTATCAGGTGTTTTTATTGTTCGTGGCACCACCACCACTACCACCAGCAACAACAACAGCAACAGCAATCACAACGACAACCACAACGACCACGACGACGACGACCACCACTGCAACCTTCAACGGCAGCAAAGCAACAACAACAGCAGCAGCAACAACAACAACAACATCAATTACACTTGCGACAGCTACAAGTACCAGTACGACCGCCATCCCGACTATACCCCGACCGCAACCAAGATCGCGACGGATACTACCACTACTGCCACAAGCACTCTCACGCTTACTATTATCATGATATACCGATATGAGTCTGAAGTTGTGATAATACAAGATGTATTAGTTCTTATTTATCTTATATACTTCGTCATATACAATATAATGTAAGGTATGTTGTACAAAGTGGATACTACATAGTATGGTATACAAAAAATAGATAACAGATAATTTCTTCTACATCATGTATTTTATTAAAGACAGTATACAGTATCTCATGTACTATATAGCAGTTATAATCCTCGCGCATACCCGCGCATACTCGCTCGTGCCTTGGCATTGCTACGCTTGGTGCTGCATGGTGTAGTGTTGTTGTGCTCGTGGTGCACCCTCTACTACAGTGTTACTACATCCTACCAATGACGTTGAGATGATGTCGGCGGTGCCTTTAGCAAGCGACGTTGATGCCGTGTGTTTAACATGTTTCGTGACTGGTCACAGCACATCGAAGAGCAAAAGGCGGTTCGTTAACAATCAAAACACTTGCAGCCTCACAAGCTCCGAATACAACCTCTTAAAACACAGTCGTTTGCAGCGGCCGACCGAGAGAGAGAGAGAGAGAGAGAGAGATCTCCATGCATGTCTCTGAGGAGAATATACGATCACCTACTCCGTCATCGAATACTTTACGGCTTAAGCCTGAACAGGTGATCAAATATTCGTTTCTCACTCCCCGCTTACCCAATAAAACATTGGGTGGGCCATTCGGCCCGGGGAGACCCGTCCCCAAGCCCAGGAGAGAGAGAGAGAGAGGCAAAGGTTGTGGTGTCACATACCCCCTCGAAAGCCCCGGAAATTGGGGGGCCCTTATGGCCGAGGGGCCTGACCTGCCCCTTCTGCCCGAAGGAAGAATACGCAAAAGTGTCAGGTTTTCGATTCAAGATAGTTCTGCAACGCGAAAGCACTCGTATACTGTAGCGGACGGCTGTGTATTTAGTATGCTGAGAGTAGCAGTCAGTAAGAGTCAAATTTCTGCCCTGGCCCTCAAGAAGTTGGGCCCGAAAGGCGCGGATGAGTCGGGAGCACACCAGCGAGGCCGACAGCCTCCAGAACGATCCGAAAGTGTGCCTAAGGTTCAGCGCTTGGCAGTTTAGGGTGCCTGCTGCAATCGAATTTCTGCTCGATGTGTTCCAAAGCTTGTATATGTATGTATGTGTATGTGTATGTGTATGTGTATATATATATATGTGTATGTATGTATATATATATATACACATCTATGTATGTATGTATGTATGTATGTATGCATGCATGTGTACATATATATATATACACGGAAAGAGAGGCCGGTCGTTGCCGGGTAACATCGTTTCGATGATGCACGCATGGTTCTCTACAAGAGTTCATATGTGTGTCGCATGCAGGGGGCCCTGATTGAAAGGTGTCAGCCCTGGAGCTCGCCTGCGAGGTGCCGCATGTGCCGTGGATAGGGCTTGGAGCTCATGGAATTGAGGGGTGAGGATGAGTTCTGCTGAATGGAATCTGTTCGATGTCCGACTGGACAGCACGCATGCCGTTTCCATCCTGGCTGCATTCCACGACTGTGCCCGTGATGCAGGAGATGAAGGCAGAGGTAGCAAACGCACGGGTGCCAAGTTCCTACTTGAAGGATCAGTGAGTTCAGTAAGCAAGTAGTGTACAAGTCGGGTCATACATATACAGTAACTCAACGAGGCATGTATGACTCTACGTTCTTTACCTGCACACTAAGTCCCCTGATCCTGCAAGCACTGCACAACGTCTCTGTCCATCTTTGGATTTCGGTTCGTTGATTTTTTGGAGATTTTTGGAGATTCAGCACAAAGGGTAGTGTCAACCCCGAGCATATGGGGTTGTCCAGCGGCTATGAAGGCCCGGTGGAAGATACTCGTAGGGCACATTCAGCATTTCAGCGAACTGCCTCTGATGCGGAAGGCTGTGGAGGAAGCGGAGGCAGCCAAGCGGGAGGCGACAGAATGGATGCAGATGTTGTCTGATCGCAATTAACTGGATAACCATCATGGTAAGGAATCGGTTTGGCGAGCAAGTAAGGTAAAATAGTTCAGCTGGGTACATAGCCCCCCCCCCCCCCTTGTAGTTTAAGCAACTGTCAGTTCTGCACAAGAACTTGGAGCATGATTGGATATTTCATGTTCGTGTTGCATGCCGCGTTCCGGGATCCTTTCGTTTCCGGCTGTCGCGTCGGCAACGCAGCCACGTCTGTGGTTCAGACCCATTCTACTAGTTGTTTGCCCTTGCTGAGCTGCTTGGCTTGGCAAGTCGGGGACGCCATCATTTTTTGGTTTGCTTACAAACACCTTAAGCTTGTTGTAGATATGCAATGACATCGATATAAGGTTCGAGACCAGAGCCCGGTTTTGGAGTCTCCAGGAAAGTTGTCTTATGTTGTCTGCCTGGACTAAGGTGCACTCTGCACTCATTCATCCATGGTCATGCAAATCAGCAAGATGCTTTCCCTCACAATGCTTTTGGGATCTTTCTGTGCCTTGGGCAGACATTCAGGTGCTCTCTTCCCTCCCCCGCCCGTCCTCAACTGCGCCTGGCTGAGGTGCTGTCCAAGCCGAGAGCCAACTGGGCCAAGACCCCAGGATGATGCGATATGAAGCCCGCGTCGATGCAAATGGGGAACCCCAAGACTTCGCACCTTGGCGTGTCTTTCTACTGCTTTCCCGAGTCCAAACTTCTTTGGACTTCTACAGCATCAGCGCAAGGAATGCAGGTTGTTGTATTCCGATGTTCTTGAAGCGGCAGTTAGTTAAGTGACACGCAGGCCGGGACAGTGATTGCAAAGACCGCCAGGTGCCTGTTCCAGACCATTCCACCCATCATCGGGTGCGGAATCAAGCCGCCCTGCTTGCAGGCCTTGAACATGAGTTGTCCACGCAGTCGAAGCAGGCAACAATTGAGCGGCAAGACGGCTGTTTCGTCTGATGCCACCCTTGCGGAATCGCATCAATCTGCGCGCAAGGTTTGTGATCTTAGACGCCATGTCACGAAGCTGCTCAAAATAGTATTGTGTTGCAAGTAGCTGCGGCAGTGCACTGAAGATGGCAAGGACGACCACCGACGACTGCCACGACTTGTTCTGCTCTTGCTGCTGCCACGACGGTTGCTGCTAACAGGATCTGGTAAGCACAAACGAATCAGCATCACCACGAACCGTGATTCTGCTCTTGCTTTTCCGCGTCTTGAACATTGCTGCTCAGGAGGATATGACTCTGTTTTGCGTTCCGATGCAGCCATGTTCAACAGCGGCTTCGGCAGGTGACCAGACACCACCTCCTGCACCGGCCGCACCAGCAACCACCACGCTGTACCCGCAGAATCCCAAAGGACTGGCACACCGGTTTTGCTGCACTAGGAGTTCGTTACTTGGAGCTTCTTGCCGGTTTTGGCATGATGTTCGGCAGCATGGTGGTCAATGTCACATACCCTGGACGAGCAATGGCAAGCCCACCGCCAAGTCTTTAGGAGTTTAAGAGCGGTGGGGTTTTGGATCAAGAGGACCCCTTGCCATCGACGATAATGCATGGACGCTGCTCTTCAAAGCGAAGCTTGGCGCGCTGTTCCCCGTGCTCATCCTCTTTATGCTGACCTTCTGACGCTTGCACGCAAGTGCTAGGTGCGTCTATCTCGAGAAGTCCAGGAGACGCTATTTCCAAAAGACACAGGGCCGTGTTGTGAGGGACCTGTCTGGGTTTGCTGTGCTGATAAGTAGACTGGGGTGTGATGTGCAAACAGCACAACTCCGAACGTCGATCATCTTTGTGGAGAGACTTCATGCCGTCAGGTTTGCTCGCCCTGTCCAGCTGCATGTTCTTCAAAGCCAAGAAAGCCGAGGCAGGACCGAATGCAAACAGAGGTTGGAAGTAGAACAATAAGGCAGTAATGCAGCCCACTGTAGCCATGACAACCAGTCCGGGCCGCCATCATCAGACCACGCCAGACAGAGAAGCATCAGCAATGCTATGGTAGCTAGTACATACGATATCGGTGCAGCACGGATAGAACATGACTGCGTTTGCGAGTAAAATCAGACCTTGGGGTAATGGCATACAGCAGCGCGCAACAGCACCTACGGATGCATGTTCAGATGCATCTTGTAGCATGGGGTGGGTTGGCTAATGTAATGTGCAGTGACACAATCGCATTCCGGGGTAAGGGCTTGAGTCATTCCTTAGTCATGTATTTGTGCACCTGCTAGGAGAGGGAGGGAGGGAGAGAGAGAGAGAGATAGAGAGAGCAGCTCTCATTCAGACCTCCATGGGGGTCTTTGATCGAACCCCTTTGCCCTGGACAAGGAAAAAGATAGAGACGGTGTGTGTGTGTGTGTGCGCGCATCGTATGCTCGCTTATACGTTGTTATTAACAGTTGTGTTCGTTTGTGTGGACAGGTAGGTAGGCAGATACATGACAGATGAGACAGATAGATAGATCGAGAGATGCATAGATACATAGTTACATAGGTACACAGATCTCAGGTAGATAGCTTGATGGACAAATGTATAGATGGACAGGTGGAAAGGTGGATAGTTAGATAGATGTGTAGATCGAGGGCTGGCCAGGTAGACAGGCAGCCTGCGGTGTGGGATCACAGCGCATCGGCCCTGCAGTGTGTAGTCAGTCTTGAGCTGATTGCTTGACGGTCAACTTTTTTACATGCTCAGCGACACATTGGGCGCTTGCTGAAAAGCCTCAAGCGTGCCAGGGAGATGAAGCAGAAGAGCTGAAAGCACAGGCATGTGGACCAGAGGCAGGCACAAAGGGCTTATTTCGAGAGTTACGTTCGGATTGTTGTTGCTGCATTGTCGGTATGTAGGCAGCTTGTTTGATCAAGTGGATGTGAGACTGGCTCCCTCTTCAGATGCCATGTGAGGGATTGGAAGAAGATCTCTATGGACTGGCGATTGCTTCCATTGACGCCTGTCGTGCAAGAAGGTCGAGGTTGAGCCACTAATCAACTGCAACATCACGATTGTTGCTGCTCCTGCCGCTGCTACTGCTGCCACTACTACCGAGTGAAACACGTGTGGGTTAGTTAATTGCTGTTACGTGACATGAGGCTCCCCGGGTGGGCGATCAGTTGGCACCGAGTGCATTTGGTTCTTCTTCGAGAAAAGCCTCGTTTCGAACATGTACGAACTAAAATCCTTGTTCGCTTATGTGCTATCTCGGCGAGCAGCCACGCACAAGCAGAGGTCCGAGACACCCGATCCTTCTGCAGAGGATACTCCTCGGCTGGCTTGATGATTGCTCGGATGGGAGTTTCGGTCATGACGCTTTCTGCAATTAAGTTATGTGTCGTGACCGGCCGTTCCGCTGTGACGAGTGGCTACTGGTAGCACTCTGATTAGCAAGGCAGGAATGATACCTGCCCAGGATCTTGGTGCTGGTCCTGATCTTGCAGATCTACCTCATGGCGGAGCTGAAGGCGCTTTCCATGGGCTATGCCGATGCATAGACAACGGCTTGAGCTGTCTTCTCGAAGACCCTTTTGCAGTTTCTGCGGGTGTTGACACCACGGTTGGCAATTTTTTACCTGTGCCGAATCTTGCTTTAGTCACGCGTTCGTGGGGGAAAGGCTGACGAGATTGACGCAACTGGGCCTGTGTGGGATTAAAGTCTTTTGACGGCGTCTGACGGTGTCCTCTGCTGTCCGCAGAGCACAGAATGCACTAAAACGTTTCTGGACACCATTATGACATGTTATGACAGGAACCACCGCGAAGCAATACGATCAAGTCTACATAAACGACTTGTAGGACAATTGAAAGCGGCTTGTCCTTGACCTGCCGACTGAAAAGATTTGCCACTAGCTGGGAGCCTTCGCGTCAAGCTACAGACCACGCATTCTCAATGCATGGTGTGCAGCTGGCTGCGAAGGCTCCCGCTCAGAGAGGTTTTGGAGCTCGACGAAGTTCGTCAAGCATATGGCGCCGGTGAAGTGTGGACACAGTTCGTGGTGTGCATCTGCGCTCAAGAAATCGAAGAGTGCCAACAGTTCAGTGCCATTAGGAAGAGATGCTTTGTCCCAATGACTTGCGTGTAAATGCCATTGATGTACAGCCATTTGTCCCCCTGTCGTGCAGCACCAGTCCGCTAGGCCCGTGGCGAAGATAGCTTTGGCCCAACTTCTCGTACTGAACCCTGTTCGAGAACTGTCTGCCAGCCACTTGCTACTACGGCCACATTCAGCTGCTGGCAGGGATAAGAATCTGCATGGCTGTCAGGCCTTGGTGACATCTGTGGCCGTGAATCAGATCCGCAGCGTCTACGATCGCTACGAGATCATCATGTGCTCTCCCAGTATGAGTACCACAAGTATGAAGATCGAAATAGCCATCATCGGCAGAACCACAACAATTGATCATGGGCAGTCGCAGCGCCAGGAAGCGGAAGAGGAGTTTAGCGGAGCACACTACTGTATGGAGTGGTAGTACAACAGGCTGGGAAGAGCAGAGCACTGCCTGCAGGACTGTTAATTAGTATGTGGCTAGCATTAATTTATTCTCGTTGCATCGTCGTCGTCGTCGTAGTAGCCGTAGTCGTAGTCGTCGTAGTCGTAGCAGCAGTAGCAGCAGCAGCAGCAACCGCCATTGGTCAAGCAGGGCCTGCAACGACTCGCCACCCATGTGAATCAGGGGGGATGGGTGCTGACAAAGGCCCCGAATAAAGCCACCGCCCCTAAGCGCGAAAGCATAAGCCCGCAAACCCCCCTATGTCATGTTGACGCGTGGGGCGTGCCCATTCACGAAAGAATGGCCTCCATGCCAGGGCATCCAAGGCCTCTGCTGAGTCCGAAAATTACGAAACAGGGGCCTGGGCATAGACCGGAGCATCTGCCCATGTGATTGGACATCTCCCCAATCCAGTATAGAACCTGAAGGAACGTATTCATGCAGAAGCAGTTGGAGGGATTAGGTTCCCTACCTCTGCCTGTGTACTGTGTAGCACACTTGTGTGCGAAATGACAACTCGTAGCTTACACTCACAAATCCCTCGGA